CATCAGTTAGTTTATAAACAATTTGTTTACTTTATTTGTCTGTCCACAATGAGAATAAAATATTTTTATTGATTATTTTTGTTAGAATGAATGTATCATTAAAACGAGCTAATAAAATAATCTTTGTCATTTTTTATTTCATTAGAATTGACGTCATTATATATGAGAGACATTTTATATTTTAATATCTATCAAAATCCAACAATTTTCTTAGTATACATTTAATCAATCAATTTAAATAAATGTTTGCAATTCTTGGTTATACTGATCATTGTTGAATATGACCAAAATGTTTCGTTCAACCAATAAATTTCATTATCTTCATACTATTTTGATATGAGGAAATGAAACGTATATAAAGATCTGATAAAATTATTTCTACTTGGTATTTATTCTTGTACTTGTAAAACGAAACAATATTTTCTTTCGTATTTGACGTGCTCTTCTAAACATTTCACTATTGTCGTCAATAAAATATTATTGAAATATTAAGGATTATTCGATTAAGTAGTTTAACCGTCTATTAAATATATATGTGAATTTAATAAAAATTAAAACAAATTTCGAACTTTGCTTTGTTTTTGAATATTTAAAACTTCTTTCTACAAAATATTTTTTAAATAGTTTTAACGTATTGCATGAGAAATGAAAAATGTTAAATTTAGAAATAATTTGCTTTTGGAGATATTTGATAAGTTTCAGATGATTCCATAAGTTTTCTTATAAAGCAGATTTTCATCCTTAGCGTATTAAGTTTTTTAAAATTATTAGTCACATATCAAAATAAATCTGATCGATTACATTTATTTTAAGTACAATATTGTTAATCCTTTATTCTCCAATTGATCATTGATGATCCATTTAGAAAACTTATCTATTTAGAGTAATAAACCATCGAATAGAATCAAGATGCTCCTTTAATGTTGTGTACACCATTCAGTATGCTATAAAGTACTAAAGAATTAAACTTTTTCTCGTCGTCTATTGGTAGAATACTTGACTTGAAAAATCTAAAAAATCAATTTCTTTTCGTTTTTTTGTTTATCAGAACAGATTGATCATTTATATTTTTTTAACATTTGATATATATTATTTAATGTATCAACTATCTATTCAGAACCTTTTCACGAACTATTAAATCAATGTATTGGAAGAGCCTTCTTTGGAACAACTTGGGTAAAATATGACCCATTCATTGATGTTGAATAACATTTAAAAATGCATTATTTTACAGATTTTTTTCTTATTGATATAAACTGATTATTGGCAATATGTTCATGCTAAAAACATTTATTATTATGACTATATAATTAATCAAACAGCAAATCCCGATGATTTTTCAAATAGTCTTCTATTTGAAAAAGATAAAAATCTGTAGGTTTTTTTGACTGTCTTTCTTCACTAAACCGCTAAAGTCATGTCTCTCTCCCTCTTGGAATACTTTTCAGTCTTATAGTATTATCCTTTGATACATGATAACTGAATGTATACATATAGACAATCTTTTTCATCATGTTAATATACCTTGACAAGACTTACACAGTGTTATATGTAATTGAGTGTTAATCCATTCTCAATAATTCTACACAGATAATTATATTGATAATGTATCTTTTTGACCTATTCCCCTATGTTAATCGAAAATATATTCAATTTTATAACACTATAAGATTAAACAAGAAAAAAAAAATTATTTTCTCTTTTCTTTCTTTTTATCTATCTTAGAAATTTCTTGATATTCAACGAAACAAAACAACAGATTATTGTCGAATAAATAGAATTTGTCTCTTCAATAAAGTCTTTTTGTTTATTCATCTCGTTCATGTGTATTTAACCATATATATGTATATATATATATCTCACCTAATATTTCTTTATCTTAGAATTTTCTCTATCTTATTCAGTTGTATTATATTACTTTTTCTTTTTCAAATAATATTTTAAAATATTAATTCAACAACTTCATCGGATTCAAATGTTTTATAATTCGAATATCAATTAATAATTTGAGTGGAATTTAAGCGAATGACTTGTTTATTGATGGTTTAGTTCAATACATAATTGTTTTAAAGAGTATCATTGTAAAAAATAAATATTATCATATGTAGATATCCATCAGAATTCTGAAAAAATTCGAATAATTAAAATATTCTTTCTTTATTTAGTTTTTGATCAGATTATATCACGCTTTTCTTGAAAAACTTATCAAAGATAATTAACTTTAAAATAGACGAAGTTTATTATATTTACATATCAAGTAAAAACCTCTAGTACTTATACCTAGTCCAAAAAGTATCCAGACACCCATATGTTTTTTCGTATCTCTTGGTTTGCGAAACAGAAACAAGAGATAAATTTTTTCTTTTGTTCCACCAGTAGATAGTCCTTATTTTGTGCAGTTTTCCACAGGCTTTCTAGCAATATATTTGGAGATTAATTTTGATAAGAAATTCATTGTGATCTTTTATTCGCACTGTGATATTAGGCATGTTCAAGAATCTGATTTCTTTTGAAATAGTTTACATTGTAAAAATTATATTTCTTCATTGAAATATTATGCCAACAGATAGAGCGTCTTTTCCTCGTTCTAACGGTGTGCAAATAATATAATTCTAATGTCAGTAAATCGAGCACCTAACATATTGGAAAATCGAACATTTTCATGAGAAACGTCCTCATAATTCGAGATGATAGTTAAAATTGCTGCTTTTTATAGGAAACCTAGTTCGAAGTAAAGACTATCTACTGGTAAAAGCAGAAAAACTTTATCTCTTGTTTCTGCTTCGCAAACCAAGAAATAGGAAAAAACATAGGAGTGTCCGAATACTTTTTGGACTTGGTATATATCATACTAGACTGCAGAAGTAAATATACTTGAGAAAAAATAAGTTAAAATACAAGTAAAATACTTCTACTTGCTGTAATTGTACTCGTTCTATAATCATTTCGAAATTGGACATTGAAATAAAACATTAAAAAAATTTAGAGTTCCTGTAAGAATAGTATAACAAGATAAAATTTTCATTGTAGATTGTTTGATCAATTAGTATGATCTTTTTATTCAAATGATTGATTAAAATTTTCTGTTTTTAAATTAACGAACAAGTACAGCTTCAATGATAGAATTTGGTGCCTGAATTGGATACATTTTTTTCAATTGAAATCCTGTTTTTTTCAGTAATTCTTCATATTCATCTTGTGTTCGTTCACGTGCATTGTCGAATAAAATAGCCATTCCTATATCTATTGCATGTGATTGCCAGTTACTTAAAGCTTCATTCGGTAAAATAATATGTTCAATAATAAATATAACTGTTGGTGTATCTTTTTCATTTTCATTAGCTTTTCGAATCGACGATAAAATTTCTAAACATTTATTATCATCGAAATCGTGTAAAATATGTTTTAGTACATAGGCATCTGCTAATGGAACAGTTGATGAATCATACATATTACCAGAAAGAAAACTCCATTTGTTTTTATGTATTTTACGTAACTCAAATTCTTCACCATTTTTAAATTTATTAACAATATGTGACAGATCGAATACAGTTCCATGTTGAATTGATGGATACTTTTCAAGAAGTTGAGCTAAGAATGTTCCACGATTACCACCAATATCGACTATAGTTTTAAAGCTACCAAAATCTACAGCTGTCACTAATTGAGAACCATTTTGTATTGAAAATGCTGTCATAGCACCACTAAATATTTGCAAGAACTCTTCTTGATCCGGTTGACTCATGAGCGTATAAAAATCTAAACCACCTGAGACACGAGCTATTCCACTGCCTGTACCTTCACCACGCACCATATTTGGTAATTGCAAACTAGCGCTACTGCATATTGGTCCAAAACTGAAACGAATAAGATCTCGAACATGTGATGAATGATCCGACGTCATCATGATACCTGATTCAGTAAGAATAAAATGTTTATCATCATTAATTGATTCAACAATACCGACATAAATACATGCACGTAATATTCGATAAAGTAAATCTCTATTCCATTGTTGTTGATCATCACTAATGATTTCTTCAACGGTAAAACCACGATCAGATTGAGCGTGAATAAGTCTATCAGCTATACCAAGATCAGCAAATGTGTAAATAGATTGATTTATCAATTGATGATATATCATTGACAAGAATTTTGGCAGACCATTAACAGTTAACGAAGAGACTGGTATAAAAGCCATCAACACGTAAAGTAGATAAATATCGAGCTATGATATACTACAAGACAGGTAAATAATAACAGAGAAAAAAAAACAAAAGATAAATACAACCAATTATTTATCTCATGTAAAAGTACATCAAGGTCAAAGATCAAACAGAATTTTTATTTCGTTAGATAATACATCGTTTGATAGAATTTCATTTGATTAGTCAGAATTCCTACTTAAAATGATTTTTTTTCAATTAGCTTTGATGAAAAATCGTCGAAATTTAAATTACTATAAAAAATACAAAAAATATGTGACTAATGTCCGCGCCAGAATGAAAGAAGGGTGGGTGTAAGCTCAATAACTCGACAACCGCAATAGCTAGCGACCTGCGGTTTTCACCAATCGAAAGAGGAAGAGTTGGGATGTCTTTTTCTCCGATCATGCATAAGACGAAATCCTTTTAAAACTAATCATTTTCGAAAAACATGCAAAAGAACTCATGAAAATGACCTGCCAGCTAGATGAAATTTTAATTTTGACCTTTGATTTGGATAGAGGGACTTGAGATCTATAGTTCAAGACCAAGGGGGAAAGTGCTGGCACCCAGCACCCTGGCACCTCAGTACCTGCTCAGCATCTTGGTACCTTTTCAGCACCTGCTCAGCACCTCAGCACCTTTCCAGCACCTCAACACCTACTCAGCACCTGCTCAACACTTGTGGGTTCTGTGAAGGTTAGAAAGTTAGAACATAAATATTAATTGAGAAGTTGCTTAGAAATAGGGTAACACTATTCAGATTCGGTTTTGTGGAACTCACGTATATTTTCG